GAATTTCGGGAAGATTACCTTATAAAGCCCATGTATATGAACTCATGTTAAATAGGAAGGTTCACTGTGTTTCTATTGGGTGAACAGTTGTTTGAGACACAGTAGTGTTTAGCTCACATTAACTACAGGCCCCTTTTCAGAACTATACTTGTCCCTTTCAGATAAACTACCACATCGAGAGTATGGGGCAGTGACAGAGTACTGTTGCTTTTAAGTAGATTTGATGCCTATTATCAACACTAAGACACACAATTAACTAGCCAGCTTTGATCTTTCAGGCAGGGGGAAAAATGTTGAAGCACATCAGTAATGCTAAAGTAAAAAGGCTTTTCTTGTACAAAGACTGTTTGGGTTTGTTGTGCAGGCAGGGTCAGGGACTGTGATGTAGGACACTGTGATCCCTGATACCGAGTTGTTAATAAGCATCTGAAGCTTGTTTGGCAGGGAGGTCCCTACATGAAGCGTAGCCTTGTGGTATCCCAGTTACACTGCACCAGAGAAGTCTGTGTGCAGATACTCTTGGTGCACATCATTTGACTTGATTTAGCCTGGGGATTTGGGGCCTTCTCCAATTTGAGATGGGAGTTAGAGGAGGGGGAAATGAGGACCAGTTTCTGTCCATTTGAGACCTTCTTGCTTTTTCAGTTACTCTGCACTCCGGCAGAGAAGGCATTATTAGCTGGGTGGTTTTTTTGTTTTGGTTTGGGTTTTTTAGTTGTCAAGGCATTTGACACTTTCCATCTGGAGAAGGAATAACTTCCTCCAAATATGCCTGTATGAAAGTAATTAATAGGTATTACTTATGGATTTTAGCTAATGGTTTAAGAAAATGTTAAACTTGCTTGTTTTCTAGCCCTGTCATCTGACTCATAATGGATGATCTTTTCGAGTACAGATTGCGTGTTTTGGGTTTCTCTGGCTCTTAGAACTGGTAGGGAAGCTAAAAGAGTCCGACCTGGTGCCTTCCCTTCTAGCTGTGTGGGATATCTTTCCAGTGCAGTGTTAAAGCTTGCCTTTTCAGAAAACTCTGTTTTTTTCCGTGAAATTAAGATCTTTGTTAAAACCAACCATCATGAGTCATGCTCAGTGACTCTTCTTTCACCGCATCTTAATGAGGGCCACTAGTGGATGTTTGGATAAGGATAAGTTTAGGTTATGATTGGAGGGAATATTTTGGTGGTGATTTCCCTGGTTTTGGCCATTTGAGGTTTGAGGACTTACTAGGTTGGAGTGTCCTCCTAAGTTACTGTGTTCAATAGCCCCTGATGGGGATTTTACCTCATGTAGTTATTTACTGGTTGTGCATGCCCTCCCCCCCCAGTGGCCAGTAACCCTTAAAGCAAGCTGTACCCTAAAGTCTTGGTTATTCAAGAGAAGGACCAAGCCTTGTCCCACTGCATATTCAAGTACTTGCTGCAGAGCAGCTGCTGAACTCGTATTTAAGCTTTCTTAATTCACATGGGGTTAATGCAGACCTAAGGATTTGGAAGCAGTGCACTGTATAGCATCTGCTCAGTGCCAATCCTTTTCCTTCAGGTGCAGGCCCATTCTTGTCATGTGTGTTCAAAAAAAAAAAAAAGAAAACATTGTAAATGATCATAGAAAACTGGTGTTCTATGAGGGCAGAGAGGTAGAAAGGGGAATATATACCCTGGCTTGGGTAGGATTCTCTTCTTTTCTTTTGCCTTGACTCCCACTCCCTGTAGCAGTTGTGGGAGAGACAAATGAGACCAAACTTCACTCTGTCAAATACCAGTGTCTCTTTCCAAATCAAGATTAGATACTTTTCCTGTCTGGATGGAGACTGACACTTGAGTGTCTGAAACTGTCTTAGCTTAAACTAGAACACTGGCAATGCCTCCATCTCTTCCCACTTTTGTGTTTAGTAAAGGGAGAGTGGAGTTACCAGCTTGTTTATAATGTGGTGTTCAGATTGAAAAAGAAAAGTTCGGTAGTCCCTGTACAACAGCTTGCTCAGGAGCTCATTGATGTCATTAGAAGTTGAGTTCTAGTTTTGGAATATTCCTCAAATCCAGGCACTTCCGTGTTTTCTCTTAATGACTTAAAGTACAAACTAGAATTGTGCTACAGGCCTTCAGAGCATCTGAATTTTGAAGCCTTTCAGAAATGGAATATGAGAAAACTCTTTTCAAAGATATTCTGTAGGAAAGAGATTTAATTTGAGGCTAAAAATGTCCCTTGATCTAGGTGTTCTGTGCTTTAACTCATCATGGTCATGCAACGACCATGTGAAACAGTTGAAGCCTTTAAAGGCTTTTCTTACTATTCTGGTGATAAAACAAATGTTATACCGTTTGTGAGCACATCGAGCACATCTATACTATAGTTGTGGGTCCATACATGAATAGTTTTTAGAAATGTCTTGCCATTTGGAAGTGTTTTAATGTGTTCTGGTTTTTAATGATTTTTAATTCCATATTGTGAAATAAATAGATCATATTTGTTTACCGTTAGCTGTCCATATTGGGTGCTTTGTAGAGAGCATTATGAGATGTCCTGTAGGGTGAAAAGCTGGGTTCAAGCAGGGCACAATGTGCCTTTTCCCTAGCCTGATGTTTAGGGTGTTTATTGCTAGGACTTTAAACAACCACCAACAATTATGGAATTGTTCTTGGAGCAGGGACCAGTCTTTACTCTCTCGTTTACATATCTTTAAGTGATTGATATGGGGAAGGTATGAATTAAGGAATTATGTTGCCCAAATAACTTGAGACATCTGCTGCTTTGTAGTCTTGTTGTCAGGGAAGGAATAGTGGATGAAATCCTATTTACTCTGTAAGTGTTAATTTGTTCTTGTTATCGTGCCATCTGTAAGCTGTTCATATTTTACATGAAGTACACACTTGTGTGGTAGGAGTTAACATGCCTAGAATTATTTATCAGAAAGTTAGTGCTGATAGAATTGTTTGCTCCTAAAATAACCGCAGCACAGAGGATGGAGGGGCAGGCTACTTGTAAGTAACTTCGTACAATACTGTAATGGAGCATTAACTTCCTCCAGTGGGTCAGACAATGTCTTATCTTGGTTCAGCAAGGTCTCTGGAGTCTTCCTGTGTGTGTTGTTTTTGTTTTGTTTTGGTTTGGTTTTTAAATAAAAGACAAGTCTTGTCATCTAAATATTTCGTGTATAGCTAGCTTGCATGGCAGCAGTATATGAAAAAGTTTTATGCTAGGGCCCAAAGGGGAGAGCTTAAATATTCTTCTTGTGACCCACTCTGTTCTGAAGCAAGAGTGGGACTGGGACCATAATGAGAATTTGTAATTACTATGCAAGCAAATTGCTCTGGCAAACGGTTGTGTCCTGACCCTCAAACTTCTGTGTGGGTATTTGGTGCGTTCTTGAGATGAAAATAACCAATTGCCTGTATGCTAATTACTGGAATGGTGACGAGGCATCTGAGATCTGCGGTCCTCAAGGACCTGCTGCCTAGTGTCTAGGAGGTCCTCCGGTGCCATCAAAACAAGGGTATCATCATTCCCCCGTGGGAATTGTGGTGCCCTTCGAATCTTGGGGGCTGGTGCTCAGGGCGAGCCATCTGACCTGCCGAGTGATCCTCGGCGAGTCCTGCGAGTGACGTGTACCTGAGCTATGTACGTCAAAGCAAAGTGGCCCCACCAGGCTCCCCTCAGCCTTCTAGATGTTACTTGAGGGTGTTAATTAGTTGCTTAAGACAGATGCCTTTATCAGATGAGCTGATAGTTTAGTTGTCATGCGGAATTGGCTTTATCTATAGGAAGAGGAAAACCATCAGCTGTTCCCACTGCACAGTCCTTTTCACAGGAGCAGGCGAGTGTCAGCGTACAGAAAAACTTGGCATTTCCAGGGTCTGGTTGTTCCACACCGTTTAATGTTAAGTGAGCAAATTCCCCTCCCTGTAAGGAGTGACCAAATGCCACTTTGTATCTAGGCTCCCTTTCTTAAAATGGTTGCGAATCTATCTTCCCACTGGTAGTAGCTTTGGAGCTCTCAAGATTGAAAATCTTTTTGTCTAGGCATGGCTAAAATGCTGCTGGAAGTAGTCCAGAGCCAGATACCTAAACCTTTGCCCTTTTCAAAATACTATCAGGATGCTGCCTTTTTTGTTCCTTTGGGGGATGTCAGCCTGCTTCGCTGGTCAGAGATGCAATGGGATGCTTTGTCACGCATCAGGATTGACTGAGATAGTGGGATTTCAGACAAGGTGTCTAGGCTTCAGTCAAGCAGTGGCAGTCTTGGGCAGTAAAGTCCACATTGAAATGTCTTTGGTATAGGGATTTTGGCCTTGAAATTTTTGATGTTGGGACTTTGTTCTATTCTGTATGGACGTGTGAGAAGAAACGCTTCTGAAAAGAAACTCCGTTGAAGAAGACAGGGATGTGACAAGTACAGAGAGTGAGTAGTGAGAATAATGCTTGTGTTGTTAAAGGCCAGCAGTACACTTCTCTGCTTTAAAAACAAATCTTAAACTGAGGTGGAAGCAACTTTGTACAGTATCAAAAACTGATAATGGACTTTTTTTTTTTTTTAAAAAACAAAATCTTTACTTTCCAATGGTACTGTCATGGTAAGGGCAAAGGAGAAATTCTGAAATGTCCCTGTACCTCAGACTTTGAAGAACAAAGCTGGAATGCCATTTCCTCATTCTGGTGCCAGCAGCCAGAGCCCTGCTCTTTGTAGTGCTCCACACTTCAGCCTTCAAGGCACTCTTCAGTGTCCTTAACATGCAGAGCTGCCTGACATGCAGGCATGGTGGTTTGTAGAGGCACGGTGGCGTAGCTAGTCTTCACCATTGCCACTGTGAGAGAGACCAAGAGTACAAAGCTGCTCGAAGTCTTGGGTACATGTTGTGTGCTTTTTCCTGCCTTTTTGATAACCTAGGATTTATTTGAACATTGGAGGCTTGGGGAAGATATTACTTGGCTGCTTGGACCTTTCCTGATTTGGTTTATGAGGGGTAAAAGGGCCCTCTTGGTCAGGAGGCCATGATGGGGATAGGCACATGAGCCGTTTGGATTGTGGTGGAGAAGGTGACCATTACTCCCCTTGTGGGGTGGAAGGAAACGGGCTGCGGCAGAGTAGGTAACTCCACTGCCTGATAGGAAAATCATTGTTTCTCTTGAAATACAGTGCAGCAAGGGTGATTTTTTTTGTTGCTGATGATGCAAAGCCTCAGAGCTCTAGAATGACTTGTTTCTGAAGTGAAATGCAGGAAAAGATGTTTTTTTCTGGCATTGGTGATGTCAGTTTGTGGATCTGGCTGTGATCTAGATTAAATTGCCTTGGGGCTGGAGATGTCAGACTAGAGCACTTCTCATCTCAGGATGCCAACTGGTAGGGTTGCCCTTCTGCGGGTTGTATTCTTACTAGGCAGGCTTGGATAGCAAGGACCCGTGAAATGTTGACTTTCACTGATTGTCACAGCTATTAAAATATCTAAACCAAAAGAAATAAGGCATTTGTTCACAAGCTTGTAACTAGCTCCAGTGTCTTGTCTCTTTTTTTTTTTTCTTTTTGTAATTTGCATTCCTGTATTTAGCTATATGTGTAAGCAGTCAGTAGTGTTAAATGGTTGTTTATGGTTCAGATGCTGATGTGCCTTTTATGTTTTAAAGCTTAGAGCTTTTCGTGGAGGCTGCTGCTCTTGTCTGCCCTTCAGTGCTTCTTTTTCTACAACACTCTTACAGGCTTTCTATGGGCTTCTTTCTCTGTCCTGTTCTGCTTTGAGGTGGTGCCAGCAGTACTTGGAGCACTCATAGTTTAGGTGAAGTTTAGGGTGGGTGCACTGTTTCTTCCTTTCTCCTCCCTGCCTTTCCTTCCTCCTATAATTTGCAATTGCACAGAGAACCACAGTGATATTTTGGTTCTTTTTTCTTTTTTACACTTAACTTTGATCTGTTCCTGCCTTTAAGCAACTGCTTTCATTCTGCTAACAGGTCATATTTGCCTGTGGCAAGCCATGAGCTGAAACAGGTTGCTTTATCAGTAAGTAAAAGCTCTCCAAGCTGTTTCCTCCAACTTGCAATTTAGTGTAAGTACTGATTAGTGTGACCAGTTTTCACACACACTCACCAAGATGTCTTCGTTCCCTAAGGCAGTAAGGTCACTGTGGGCTGTTTCTAGGCTAACATTAGCGACACTTGTTGCATAACGCTACAACTGTCCTTCAGGCAGGAAAAGTTCCCAGCTGCCTAGGAAGGGTGGCGAGATAGTTTCTAGAGCTGTCTTGAAGAGGCTGCACTGGAAGTAAGGAAAAGGT